TATATATATACACATATACACACACACACACACACACACACACACACATTTAGAGATTTAGAGAGAGGAAGAAGAAAAAGAGAAATAATAAGAAAGGTAAAGTCTACTTCCACCTTTAACACCATGTTTCATGTTACACCCATAGGGTTGTAAGGTTATGGGGTCCAGGGGTCAGGTGGTTAGGTGTGTGTGTTGGACAAAAGAGTAGCAACTTAAGTATTGAATGTGGTGGTAGATAAGGTGTGTTCGGAGTGGGAGATGTCTGGACAGCAAAGATTTCATGGCAAATTGCATCAATCTTGTCTTTAAGGTGGCTTGGCTGTGTGGAGGCAGGTACTATATTTTTGGAGGGCAGATTTATATAGGGTGAAGTCTCTCAGGAATTTGGATTTATGCCATAGTTGCTCAAGAGCGCGACTATTTCTCCTGAGTCTTCTGGTAACATCTGTTAGCCAAGGTAGGGAGCCAATAATAGGGAGAGTATGAAACAGATGAGGTTGTGATCAGAGAGAGGAAATGGGGTGTTGGTGAGATTGCAAGGAGTGCAGAGGTGGGAGAATATGATCAAGGGTGTTAACCCTTGATTGCATTGGGCCAAAGATAGAAGTTAGGCTAAGTAGCTGAGAGAATGACAGTGGGCGTTTCAGAGGAAAGAAAATAGGGTAGCCAGGCAGAACAGTTGTCAAGAAAACATAATATTGGTCCAGGAGGGCGATACATCACAGCAAAACTGGGGAAAGCAGAGCTATACAATGAACTTTTAAAGAGGAGAGTGATAGAGAAGGTAGTGTAAGAAGAACTTGAAATGTGCTTTGTAGAGCTAGAAGGAAGCCAACTCCACCTATCTTTTGTACACTGGGTCTGGGTGAGTGAGACCAATGGAGACCACCATGGGAGAGGGCAGTAGGAGACGCAGAGTCAGACTCCTGAAACCAGGTTTCAGTAACAGCAAGTAGCTTAAGGGAGTTGGAGATACAGATGTCATGAATGGAGGTGATTTTGTGGCATTCCAGAGAGCACACAAGTAGGGGGTAGTGGTTCTTGGAAGTAGAGGTATAGGAATGGGATCCCTTGGATTGGGACTGCTTCCAGAGGAAGAAGGGTGTTGGGTGTGCTGAATAAATCTAGATTGTGGGGGGGCAGAAAGCAGGAGAAGCAGGAGGGTGAGGGAAATGAGATAAGAGCCAGATTTACAGGAGTGCACATGCTTTAAAATCCTGGAGCCTTTGTCAGCATGTGGGTTCAAGAGAAACAGAAGTTGATGGGTGCAGTAACAGGGTGAGGGCAGGGGTGAGGGTGATGTGTATATGCATTGGGGAGGAGAAGAGGGGTGAATGAATGAGAGTTTAAGTATAGAGGATACTATTATGCGAAGGAGAGGGGAAAAAGGCATGTTAGAGGAAGGAGGGGGTTGGAAGCAGACTAGGAGAAAGAAAGCAGGTTGTAGGAAAAAGGTTTGCTTGCAGTCCTTATGAGGTATAGTTGCTGATGCTTGCATTTTGGCGAGTTAAAATGGCTTTTTAAAAGGTGCCCCGTACTTGTGTAGAGCTGTACTTAGGTAGAGATGTACAATGCCTGGCTTTGCCCTCCTATAAAAGGTTCCAAACTTATACTTAGATAGGGTGGGGGTTTGATTAGGACTGCAACAACTAATTTATTAAAATCAATAATAAAATCGATGAGAATAGCTGGCAACTATTCTCATTATCAGTTAGTTGGAGTTGGTTGGAGAGGGAGTGTTTTTTTAATGCAACCAATCGATTAGTTGAAAAAATAAATTGGGCAACTAATCGATTATGAAAATAATCATTAGCTGCAACCCTTGCTTTGATTGTCGATTATTCTTTTGGGAGTTGACAAGAGACACATGCATGCAAGCTTCCCTCACTGCAGGAAAGGTTAGAGCTATAAAGATAAGACAGTCTTTTTGATCATGCAAGGCAAAAGTAAAAGGTAACAGTTTGTTGATAATGGTTACAAGTTTCAGGATGTTGAGGGCAGTACAGACACTCCTTGGTTTATGATCGTGTTACATCCTGATAAACCCATCGTTACCCGATCGTATCGCAAATCAAGGAGTGTGCTTTTGTGTACTGTACTACCACGTTCGGCAGCAGACAGTACACTATACACAATGGGGATGAATAGCAAGACTGCTATTGGCTATTTCAAATTGCAATAGCCACTAGCAGGCAGGCTATTGAAACCCCGCCCACTAAGAGAAGGAGTGGACCTGAGAGAGGTCAGTTCCGCTCCTCTGCTTAGTGGGCGGGTGCAATAGCCAGCCTGCTATTGCAATTTGAAGTTGATATTACAAGCAATATTTACCTGTGGAAGAGAGGAGATTAAATAAAATTATTTTCCATTTGACCCAAAAACACCAGATGCCGATGCCTGGTCTGGACTGCGTGTAATAAAATTAATATATACATTACCAATATGCTTAGTATCAAAAGTACAAACAGTCCTCATACAGCATTGTAATGTATAACTGGGATTCCACTCATGACCACCAGGAGACATCTAGTGGATGAACATCAAAATGTTAAAGATTTGTAACAGTTTTTTAATGACATGGTACTTGGTTCCAGATCTTAAAGTGTATATAAACCCTAACAATGAATGTCTCTAATTCCCTGCCTTTTGATCTGTTAAATATTCATTTGGAAGCATTTTGTTATTTCTGTTCAATAAATGCAAAATAAACAACCTATTAATCTTGGCAGATATTCAGAGCTGTGCAGTCTCCCCAACTGTCTTGGATTTCGCAGGACTGTACCACATTAGCCCCCACTGACCACCACTGTATTCCTACAGCCCCCACTGGCTACCATGGTACCCTCTCGTTCCCCACTGGTGTCTAATCTACCCATGCTGCCCACCACAGTACCCTCCCGATCCCCACTGGTGTCTAGTGTACCCTTCCGGTCCCCACTGACCATCATAGTGGCCTTCTGCCCCCTGCTGTGCTCCATTGTAATCCTCCAGCTCCCACTGACCAACAGTCACAATCGTCCCGAGGCCAGGTGTCACCCAGAGCGGATACCAGGTTACACCCCGCCGTGACGTCATCGCCCATCTTTGCGATACCTGTTCGGCGACCTTATTGGTGATGGCCACCAGCAGATAGAGGAGGGGACATTCACCCGGCGGAATAAGGTATGCCTCCGGGTCCCCTCCTCACTCCTGCAACTGTCGGGCTCTCGGTTCATGACCGAGTGCCCGACTTTTCAGAGGGGGTGACACCAAAATGGCTGTCAGTCATTATGGTGTCACCTCGTGTGGGCCGCCACCCCCAAAAAAGTTTAAAAGTCCCCCTCCCCCCGCGTACATGCACATACTAACACAAACACGTGTCAGGTGTGGCTACATACAAAAATGATGATTGTGCCACATATGTTGGATATCACAGCACATGCTGGATTTAGAGCAATAGTTCTAGAGTCAAGTCTAAATGTATGACCTGTAAAAACGTTTAAAGTGTAACGTAGTTTTTACCATTTCACGGGCACACACAATGTTGAAGCTTGACGTGTTTGGTGTCTATTTACTCATATTTTATATATTTTTTTAATTCAATAATGTTTATTTATTTTGATGAAAACAATACAGAAAACGGGAACAGAGAACAATAAAACCATGGTGATAATGAATAACAGTAGTCATCTTCGATGAGAAAGTTCTAAGCAAATGACCCGCCTGGGAGGGAGGAGAAGGTGAGGTATGAGGCACCAGGCATGGATGAGGGCGCTAGTAGGAAGCACAGAGTAAAGGAAAGAAAAAAAGGGGAGAAAAGAAGGAGGAGGAGGAGGAGGAGGAGGAGGAGGAGAAGGGGGGATTGGCAACGGGATTGCTCGTCCGAAGTCAGAGCAAAAAAAAAGGAAGAGGCAATGCACATCAGAGTTCTAGGAGCTCTCTATCACAGAAAATGAGAGATCCAAGGTTCCCAAACCCTGCAGAATTTAGGCATAGCAGAGATCCCAACTCTCCCGGACATTCTGGGAGTCTCCCGCTATTAGATAGCGGCTCCCTGAAGCCTGCAAGAGAAACATTGGATCCCAGTAAGGTATACTCTGATCTAGAAGAGTACATCTTTCCGGTAGGTATGTCCCGATACCCACAGTACTTGTACTCATACAAAAAATGCCCCAATACTAAAGGCCCTTTACATTTTTAAAGAAGTTTGGCTGCCTGAGTTCCCGGGCTTGCTAGAGACCTTAGGCAGCCTGCTGAGAACCTCAGGTTGACCCCTTTGACAGTGCCTGTCTGACCCCCCAACTCCTCCTTTCCGACTCCTGCAGAGACAGGCACAGGAAAGGACAGCCCCACACCGCTCGTACAGCCCGGCACAGAGCCCGGCACCCACATGCAGCCCTGGTGAGACCGCACACAGCCCTGGGGAGACCCAAACGCAGCCCTGTAAAATCCTGGATTGATGGGACCAATAATTTAACAGCAATAGAGAATGGCAACAGGCTATAGAGAACTACAAATCTCAGCAATCCATGATCGTTGATTGCCATTCTCCATTCCTGAGATTTGTAGTCCTCTATAGCTGGTTGTCATTCTCCATTGCTGTATAATCCTGGATTGAGTTACAGTACTTCATAATTATAAAGAAACTGCCCTAAAATCATTAGTCTGTATTTAGCTTTGGCATGTGTAAATAGCTGTGCAAAAAAAAGAAATAAGAACAAAAGAGTCTCTGGCACTGAAAGGGTTAAAGCCATTGTTGTTTGGGAGAGCTTACAAAAAATGCTCTTTCGCCCGTGTAGGCAAAAATCCTTGCACCGGCCCTGACTCCACTCCACTGAGAATTTCACAGTCTGGTACACAGCAATGCCATCCTGGTGACCTAATGTTCACCTGCCAAGACGCTGCCGATCTCCTAGCAGCCAGGACACACTCCCATTGACGCACGCTCATACATAGTGACCCACCTGTTTTCATTTGGTTGCGTTCAAAGCCTCACTCTCACATTCTTCAGCTATGATGTAGATGCCCATATATGGTTGTGTTCCAAGCCTCGTCTTCATGCACCCAAGCTATTGGTTGCTCTGTACTGTGTCTGTCATGTTAAGCCATGCTGGACTTCCTTGTTAATTATGTGAGCTGTGTGCTTCTTCTCCATGGTCCCGGACTGTGATTTCTGCCGGGGTGTGTACTGTGATCGCTCTGGTATGTATACATTCTCCTGTCTTTCACTAGCCGATGAAGGAGGGGGCTGTCTTTATTCACCCCACCCTCCTATTATTGATTTGATTATTTTCTTTATTGGCAAAGCTGTCATTTCATAAATGGGGTTCACCCTCTCAGTAGCATCTCTAGAATGCTGTAATACTCGGCTCCTGTTTCAAGGATCAGAATAGATCTGACTCCTCTGACCCCCCCCATCCCTGGATCAGAATAGATTACCTCCTTCTCTGACCCCCTCCCACCCCTATCCCAGGATCAGAATAGATTACCTCCTTATCTGACCCCCATCCCAGGATCAGAATAGATCTGACCCCCCCTTCCCAGGATAAGAATAGATCTGCCTACCCCTGTTTCTGTGTTGAATGTAAAAAAAAAAATGAAATTTCCAATGACGTTCATCGTCTCTGATGACATTATCGAATGTTTGAAATTTTCTACCAGTGTATATGAAATATCATATATATATAGGGCTGCAGCTAACGATTATTTTCATAATCGATTAGTTAGCCGATTATTAAGTTCGATTAATCGGATTAGAGAAAAAAAGGCTCCAGTGACAGCTTTCTGATTGCCCTAGAAGCCGACTCCATGTCCCCTTATGGCACTGCCGGTCAGAGGAAATCTTCCTCTGACTGAAAGTTCCTGTATCGGAGCATTTGGGCGAGTACGGCACGTTGCATCCCTACTGATAAGGATTGACTTGAAAAGGGTGTAATTATTTACAGAAACCCAAATCAATTAGTTTGTACCATGTAACTCAGAGCAACTGGATGTGTGGGCATTTATCTGTTACACTGGAAGAATGAGAAGGACAGATTTCCAAGATACCACTACTAGAGAGTAAGATTGTGCATCGTTTGGGTCATGGAAGGAGCAGCTCCATGAGGGTAAATTGCAAGTGGCAAAATCATCTGTCTGATATGACCCTACGATGGACAAGAACAGAGTTGGGAACTGTGGCATAGTATTCTATTCTCTGCAGAGCCCAAGAAGAGGTAAAAGAAGTCAGCAGTAAATTCAGGCGTCTGGTTGCCACCATAATTTTAAGTGATTACCAAGTCATGCTTGGGCCCATGTTTACTGCCTAGGCTGTTGTTTAATTTCCCAAAATGACAAAGTACCCATCAGGAGAACACAGGTGAGATCTATAGGAGCTGAAGGACATGATAGATTTGGGCCTTTCTGTTTTTTGATAATCATTTAAACTCCCCTGTAGCATCCTCTACACTTCAGTCAGGTTCTTATATCCAGAATCTAGCAAAAAAGTTCATTTTATTTTGGTTAGAGTCTGTTTTTATTACTATTGATAAATTCATCCAGGACCTGACCCTAAACACCACTGATAGGGAGTGCATGCCTACCTGTGATAGCTCATAAAATGGAAAAAGCCAGCACCTCTTAATGGGCCAGAGTTGTTTATTGAAGGTTCAACAACAAAAGTAAGAAAGGAAAATGTTCCTCCACATATTGGTTGAGGAACATGAATATTGTCTTTTTTTTCCTTTGTCACTTGTGTTGCTGAGCCCTTGATAAACAGCAGAAGATCATTATGGGGTGCTGGATAGTTCTACTTTATAAAAGCATTATTGTCTTTCATTTTGGAGGAATAAGAAGTCAGAGGAAATCTCTCCAAAGGAGTCCTAGAAAAAAACAAACACATTTTTACTGGAGTAGGGGATGGTTGGAACTTCTGACGAGGTTGTTATTGTGGAGTGGGTGGGTCATATTCTTTGTTACAGTTCTATTTTGCTGCAAATATTTTTACTATAATTTTGGTTTCACTGTATGAATGTAATATAAGGATGACTTGATAGGAAGCTGTTTCTGAGAGAAGCCTGGAGGCTACCATTTTTAGAAGGAGGTCGGTACTGATAGCCCCAATATTTTATCTCGGTGCTGGAGATTGCCATTAACTGACTCCTTCTGGTGGTGCTAGCTCTGGGCCATCATGTGCAGTATGGTACCATTTTGCTGCTTGGGGGGCTCAGACAGGGACAGCCTCTAATAATAGATGGTAGCCTCAGGTGTACCAGGTAACACGTTGCCTTTTAAAGTGTCTAATAGCTTGGATTGACTGTATCCTCAACTCTATTATTTTGCACAACCCTAAAAAAAATTTGCAGCTTTGATTTTTTTTTTTTTTAATTTAGACTTGTAATTGTGTGTCTTACAGATCTACAAGGAGGGGACTTATCTACCACCCGTCTCTGTCATGGTTCACATTTGGGGTGTAGGGTCTACACCTCGCTCTCGTAGGGACTCTTCCAAGACTACAGAAGAAACACACGGTCCAGTTGGCAGGACTCATGTGATATGTATGGTTTCGGACTTCTTTTATCCAAACATGGGTGGCGTAGAGAGTCACATTTATCAGCTATCTCAGTGTCTGATCGAGAGGGGACATAAGGTCATCATTGTCACTCATGCATATGAGGACCGGAAAGGAATCCGCTACCTCACCAATGGCCTGAAAGTCTATTATTTACCTCTGAGGGTTATGTATAACCAGTCTACGGCCACCACCCTGCTGCATACTCTACCTCTACTCAGGTATATCTTTGTAAGAGAAAGGGTTAGCATTGTTCATGCCCACAGCTCTTTTTCTGCCATGGCCCATGATGCTCTGTTCCATGCTAAGACAATGGGGCTCCATACGGTTTTCACGGACCATTCACTGTTTGGATTTGCTGATGTCAGCTCAGTGCTCACCAACAAACTTCTGACGGTGTCCTTGTGTGATACAAACCACATCATCTGTGTCTCGTACACTAGCAAAGAGAACACTGTGCTCCGAGCCGCCCTGAACCCTGAGATCGTCTCTGTCATCCCCAATGCTGTGGACCCCACAGATTTCACTCCAGACCCCCAGAAAAAGAGGACTAGTAAGATAACCATTGTGGTGGTCAGCAGACTGGTGTACAGAAAAGGTAAGGATAGTTTATACTCTCATGCTAGTCAAATTTTTTTTTTATTGCCCTGAATCTGGGCCAGTAAAAACCTAATCAACAAGTGTTTGATTTTTTTTCCCTAAGCATATCCCTCTTTTTAAGCCCACAGCTGTCTGATGCAGGCACGTTCGCACACACACACACACACACACACACACACACACACACACAATGGAATCAATAGAGGGAAAATCATGTGACCAGAAGCTGCACTTCAGCTGAGAAGCAGCAAGAGAAGTCTGCTAAATCTTGCTGCATGGGATCATATAAATCAGAAATTCAGATTAAAGTGAAATTAAAATTCAATGGCACCGCTTCCATGCGCAACACCCCCGCCTGCAGTGCGATCGGACGCGTGGCAAGACTTTGCCAGCGCTCCGTTCCACTGCAAACTCCAAAAATAGGGCTTGCTCTATTTTTTGCGTTTGCAGTGGAACGCAACGCTGGCAAAGTTTTGCCATGCGTCCGATCGCACACTGAGGGGGGGGGGTGTGTCTAAGCGGTGCCATTGAACTCAATGCACCGCCACGCCCCCTCCAGCCCCAAATCCGGGGGGAGAAGTTTCTTAGCGATTGCGGTGCGTTCCAGCAGCTACCGCTCTGGAACGCACACGCTTTCGATGTGAACAAGCCCTTAAAAGTGCACTTATTCTTTAAAGGTGATCTCTAGGCAAATCTAAAGATAGAAATGAATGCAGCCCTGTTTTCATAAATAAAATATACATGTATTTTTTTTAAAATGCAGCTAGTGTAAGTACTTAAACTTGACTTGAAATCAGCCACTTGCGATCCCTTATAAAGCATTACTCACATTGGGAGAGGCAGGACTGGAAGCGAATCAGTTGTACTTCATGCAGATGTGTTTGCGAGGAACAATCGGTTTCTTGCTGCTCTTTCATTGTCCATTCAGCAGGCTGGGAGCGAGAACACCACTATAATCCTTCTACTGTCTAACTGTAACAGAAAAAGTGGTGTTGTCCAACTGGCAGTGCAGCATATGGGGTGTAAATCTCAGAATGGATGGGTAGAAGGGCAAGAAATTATTTAGTGGATAAAACATCTGCTGTATGTGTATTTAGCTGTACCTTAAATTCAGCTTTACAGCTAAGGGGCATATTTATATAGCAGTAAATGTGAGTTTCACCAAACAAAGACTGCTGGTAAATCAATCGCTTTCATTTAAAATGCATGCACCAATTAGATTCACCTGCAGTGAATGTTTCCTGAATGTCAGATTCACTGCTTTATAAATATGGCTCTTAGTGATATACTTATATAGGGATTCACTGGGGAGAAATGTAACACCTTTACTAAGCACATTTTACTAGGTCAAATAGCATGTGCTTATAGGTTTACGGTAACATCTGCTCTTTTTATGCCAAGGTGAATGTTACATTTCATGCACCTTTTGTTTTTGTTCATTGCAGGCTAATGATTGCTTGCTACAATAAAACACTTATGGGGACTTATTACAATGTTACAGCTTGAGTCATAAATTCCTGTCCTAGCTTCTCTACAGTTGCACTGGGACAGAATAAAACCTGACCCTAACCACTTCTTATTTATGGTTCTGTTTAGAGTGAAAATCTGTCTCCATCTCTGGTGCTAAATCACCAGTGGCAGATGGCAGCCCAGAGATTCAGATTCCGGGGCCACAAACACTGTAAACCTGTCGTTGGGATTTTAAGTGAGAGGTAGCCTGATTGGCATATGTCAGAGACAGAAAACAGAAGACGGCCAGACCAAAATGGATGTTGGAGTTCATACAATGTTTTTTATAATTGTGTTGCTCAAACAGCCAGTGCGTTTCAGAGGCAGACGATACCCCCTTCCTCAGGCAATCACTGCCTGCAATCTGCTAATTGTGGGAGAACTACCCATAGCTGCAATAAGATCTAAATTCTGTTTTTCTTTGCTCGGAATCCATTCCTTCATTCTCCGTTTCCAAACACCAGAGGAAGGGGGTTGTGTCTTCCTCTGAAACGTGTTGGATGTTTAACACAATTTTATGAAACCTTTTTGTTTTTATTGACTCTACGATCCATTTTGGTCTGGTCCTCTACTGTTTTCTGTCCCTGAGTTGCTCCCAGTACCTCCATTTGGGGATTGTGCATCTTTGAGCTGTCTGACCATAAGCTAATGAGTTACCTACAAATCAAGTTGGGCCTATGATAAAGGATAGCAAGGGACTCCTCCTAGCACCTTGGAAATATTCTCACGATTTGATTAGCATATATATCACCAATTTGCTTGGTTAATGCCCTCCACAGATTTTCTAAACGTTTCGGTGTCAATAAGGGACTCTGAAAGTTGGGAGGTATACAGAATCACAGTGCCACGTCCTGACTTAGCACACCAGTGACCTGATTTCTAATGCATGGTGTAGTGTCAAGCTTGGACTTATCTAGTGGTGAAAGTAATGTTTGTAACTTGGGAGGCAGTTAGCATCCATCTTGTTTGAAAATCTGTGTGCAACGCTGCTGATCCTGTGCTTTTTGTCATAGGAAACAGTGTTAGGTTTTGACTCTACAGAAGACTTCTCCCTGCTTGTCATTCTCATAGAGACATCTAACGTGACCATCTTTCTTCACTATAAGTGGAGAAAAGTGCATTGGTAACCAATAGGATTTCATTTTGTCTGGACAGAACAATTAATTTGAATTGGTACCTGTGGATTGTAGATAGCACTCTGACAATAGTGAGCGTCCCGCCAGTGGGATTTCTAATCCGTATGTTTTTGTTTTACAGGAATAGACTTGCTGGGGGGTATAATCCCTGAAATGTGCCACAGATACCCAGACCTGCACTTTCTCATTGGAGGTGAGGGCCCCAAGAGAATCATTTTAGAGGAGGTACGAGAAAGATACCAGCTTCACGACAGGTACACCAAAATGCAGTGAAATTCCTCTAGAAATAGGGAGGCTTAAGTATTTGTATCATTACCAGGGGTGAACAAATCTCTGGAGTTATCATCACAAAAATATTGGTTGAGAGTTTTCTAAAGATGTTAATGTGTATTTTACCCAAAAAATTAACATTCCTGAGTTGTGTTTGGTTGTGCATATAGTTCTTAGTAAATGTAGCCTTGAAGGCCTCATTCACACTGCTTAGAGTTGGCCCCGTAGAGATCCGTTGGCATGCACGGCTGTATCGGTTCCTTCCCGGGAAGGACAGGTGCTGCGTGTGATTGTACGCAGCACCCTGTTCTTCTCTATGGGAGTATACGGCCGTACGCTCACCCGAGCTGCACATCCGTGCGGGTGTCCGTACTCGTACGCAGACAGGGTAGATCCTGTCTGTATCCAAGCACGGACATCCGCACCTGCACGGATGTAAAGTTCGGGTGAGTGTACGGCGGCGTACAGTCGTGTACTCCCATAGAGAAGAACAGGCTGCTGCGTACAATCACACGCAGCACCTGTCCTTCCCGGCAACGGCCCGATACGGCCGTGCACGCCGCACGGATCTGTACTGGCTGACACTTAGCTGTGTGAATGAGGCCTAAGGTTTATATGGTGCAGCTGAATACCTGGTGATCCCGCCAGTTACCCTTGCTTGTTGTTTCAAACTGATCACACCAAACATGGAAGGAGATTAGTACTGGTGTGGAGAAGTTACAGGAGGCTGTGCTGCTAATTCCTTTGTTATCCTGCCAGTTTCCCTTGGTTCTTTTTTGACCACGCCAACCACGGATGCAAATTTGCAGTTTGCACTCCCTGGGATCGCTGCTAGTAGTTACAGGATGCTGTGCTGGCATACGATGCTCCTGTAACTCCTCTAGTCAGTTTTACAGCCATACCCTCTGCCCAGGTGGTGTTTAGCAATGTGTCTGAATTTTGGTTTGTGCATGTTGCAATAAAGTTCCTTTTGAATACAAGAAAAAAATCTATAGCAGAAGTGCGCATCTCTGTTGCGATACTAAATTAAAGAGGTGTGAAGACCTGACTTTCAGTTTCTAGAAACTATCATGAGAATGCAGCAGGAGAAATAATCAAACAGGAATAGGTATGTGTAAGAGGTTATACAACCAGATTTGTTCTATCCTTTGAATATGTATGTTACAGCCCACACCTCATTATCATTCCCAATAAAATGAGGCAACATTGCATATAAAGCTGTGTGATTTCTGGATGATGGCTCATTTCCAGCACAGAGCTCTGACAGATGGAGAGATTCTGGAACTGTTTCATGTTTTCTACTGCTTTTGAGATTCTTAAAGAGGACTCGTCTCCTTACATTTGAATGTTAAAGGGTATCTATCGCCAAAAAATAAATCTGTATTTCTAGATTAAATGTCCATAAGTTTTATCCCACTCCTAATAATCATATCAATCTAGAAGTTTGTAAACTTATTAAAGTACTTCCTCAATGCACTGACAGTTTACCTCAGCCCTGTGACTATGGACTTCCTCACAACTCGCAGAGCCTGCCTTTTGAACTACAACTTAACGTCTGAACAATGTAACATTATCATTGCTTGCTGGAAGCAATGCATGATGGGATACGTAGTCTTGAGAAATCGAGATTGTATCACATCAAGCAGCAGGGTAAGAGACGCAAAGTACACTGGAAATCCAGGAAGTTGATGAAAGTGATGGGCAGACAGAAGGCAACACTCACTACATAAAAGGGATTTTTTTTTTTCAAGTAAGCTTTTATTACATCATCAAAAACAACTCTAGTATGTATTTCTATTCTGATGCTGATGTTCTAACAGGAGAGGAAATGCGGGCACTTTACAGGTCCTTTAATGTAAAAAAAACATTCAGATTGCAGCCTGAAGAAGTATACACACCCTGTATATGACTTCTGGGGACTGGTTATGTTACTATTACTGGCAAAGGAATGCGTATGTATTGCGCAAACACACTCACTGTTTGTCAGTCTTAAAGGATAAGAGAATTTTTAAAGGGAAAGTACAGTGTACCTGTAGAATGAAAATGGTATTTAATATTTTATCCAATCAGCAGAGAAGCTCTAGTCTCTCTTTCACATTTGAGGCATTGTATCGCTGTGTTTACAGAACTCATAGGGGCAATTCAGTGCAGAATTTGCTTTTCTGGTGTTTTGGCTGGATTAGAAAGTCTTGTACTGAATTCATGTTTTTTTGCTATTTGCGACATATGCAAAAAATTCAGTTGGCTCCTGCGCGCAACACTTTGGCGCTGTGGCTGTGATAATTTAATTAACTAATATTGCCATATTGGTGATCAGAAAAGTCAAGGTAAATCAAATAAAACCAACAAAAACATACCGCACTCCACGGATCTCACTGATGACAACTTTTATTGGCATATCTTCATCTTGGTTACACTAACATTCCCCGGCATGTAGCCACATGTTTCTAACGCGTTTCACCACTTTGGCTAAAGGAGCCCATACACCTTACAATTATCTGCAGATTTTCTGTGGTCAGATGGAAAAAGTGCAATAGATTGGCCCAGGTGGAGAATACTCCATCCACACAGTTAAGTGTAGATGGAGGAATCTGTTGCACCTTTTCCATCTGACCACAGAAAATCTGCAGATAATTGTAAGGTGTATGGCCAGCTTTAGTCTTAAGGTGCCCATACACTTTACAACCCTCGCAAGGCTTTTTTGTCTTGCGAGGGTTGTAAAGTAATTTAAAAAACGTACGATCTGCCCATCTTGGACAGGCAGATCGTACTTGCGATCATCGCAAGCCCGCCCCCCCGATGACTGCAATGAGGGGCGGGCTTCCGATGACTGCAAACGGGCAGTGTGCGCGTGCGCACACCGGCCCGTTCGGCAGTTGTCGAACAAGCAGGCCACTAACTCGCTGAGAATCGTACGATTCACGGCGGGTTTTCCAGCCTGCTTGTTCGACGGAAGACGTGCGACCGTACAGTTAAAGAGGTCGCACACTTTCATTCACTTTGCGATTATCGTATGATCGCGGGATTTCCCGCGATTCTCGTACGATAATCGTGCAGTGTATGGGCACCTTTAGAGATGGTGGCAACTGTGGGGAGGGATCCTTATGTGCGGTGTTAATTGGAACAGCAGATTCTGATCAAATGAACCTGTTCTGTTGTTAGAATGCTACTATGCATTGTAATAGTTACAGATAACCTGTCTGACATGTCATACATAAGATAAAGTATATCTTTTCATTGAAGACAGATTGACTGTATGGAAATGTAGCACTCACGGGGGACTTTGCAAATCACACCCATATAATGTATGATGACATATTTATATTATTATTTTACATATTCTAGTTATATTCTCATGTTTAATTAGCTGTTCCATGTCGCATAAAAGAATTCCTCCCCATCCCATTAAAACCAACCTTTAATAAATATACATAATGAAAACCACACACAATCCTATTGGATCCCCTACACCACATACAATAAATTTTAAAACATTCAATTCTATAAATATAAATACATGTATATTTAGGAAGGGTCCCTTATATTCTACCCTAGTTTATATCTTCTATCCTATGGGTTGAACCACATAAATATCATAAACTTTCTTCTCCAATATTACAAGATAAAGAAGTTGTCCCGGGTGTATACAAAGAATTCCAGATATGAGTGACGTGTTATTCATCTAATGGACAGGTCTAAAGTTTTTAATGTATATCATGTATTCATTTGTGTGCATCCTCACGGATGTTTCATGGTGATGACAATATAAATGCACATATCCTCTTATTCATAATCATTTTGTAACATCCCATTCGAAATTTAAACCTCTATGGGTGTACCAACTTGAAGACCCTGTACACCTGAAGAACCTCTTCCACATTGGAATAAATTGTTTTCCATGTGTCGGTAATGTGTTGTAGATAAAATTCTGTCTGAGGCAATTCTGCAACAGATCCATAGACGCCTTACCGACCGTTAACATGAATCTTTTTTATAAGTTGCGCCATTCGTTGCACGGACAGAAGACAGATTTGTAATGCGTGTCTACCACACTATGAATTTGGATTGAGTTATCACAGCAGTTTCTCTTGCTTATCCGACTGATCAATATATTCCCATCGCATGTACACTGAGTGGCCAGATTATTATGACTACCCCATCAGTACTTCGTTGGGCCACGAGATAACTCCACGAGATGACTTCGTTGGGCTACCTCATGACTCCACCAGATGTTGAAAGGTGATGCGAGGAATCTGACACTGCACTGTTGCCCTTCTGTTGTCTTGTACCAGTCTTGCCACTCTCCGTTCTGCCCTAACATTGACTAGTCGCTGACAGCCACAATTCGCATGTTGAGACCCAGATTTTCGGCTGACATTCCAGTCTTTAAACACTTTAACAATGAGCCCCTCTTGAACATTTAATGGATTCTGCTGTTTTGCTGATACTCGCTCCATGGCTCGTGCCAACAATCATCCCACGTTTAAAGTCTGTTAAATCACGTTGTTTACCCGTATCTTCAGGAAAAAAATCACTTCTACTGTCGTGGTAAACAACCTGCTTCCCTATTTATAATGGTCTGGCCCTCTAGCAACTTCAGCGTGAAATTATATTATAGCTAATTATAGCTAATTTGCCTACAAACATCAGGTGGTCATAATAAACTGGCCACTCAGTGTATATCAGCATGTTTCTTTTTAAAGACCCTGCAAGTATGTACCCTCCTTACTTACTTGCTGTTTTATGCTAAGAAACTTATTGTTCTACAGTAGTGGAAACCGGTGGCACCTACATTGGGGGCTTGGACGTCTTTGGTCAGGGCTTCATTACCCTTTCATAAAGCGACCTATGCTAGTAGATGTCCTTTAAAATTTGAGAAAATATGGTCATCATGGCTCCAGTCGGCTAGCACGGTGGTTGGCTAACTATATACGCCTTGGGCAACTGAGCAACTGCCCTCTGATTATTTGAGCATCACTGACATCTAGTAACATTACTAAAGGAGGCCAATGTTCCTACATAGTCAGCCGATGTGATAGACTGTGTTGAATTTTGGTGGGTGGCAACAGAGCTCAAGTGTTGGGGGGAGGGGAGGGCGTTGACTAATGACCAAACAATGTTGGGAATGCCTTGGGGGGTGTTGACTTTCAGTCTCTCTTTTTTCTTTGGGACTGGGTCGGTTCTGCCCTGATTTTTTTTTTTGTACGTTTTTGTATTTTTAACTGTATGTACAATTATGACACTATTAGGGCTGCAGCTAACAATTATTTTCATAATCGATTAGTTGGCCGATTATTAAGTTCGATTAATCGGTTAATCGGATAAAAAAAAAAAGGCTCCAGTGATGGACTACTAGTTTCTATTGCGATTGTAGTCCATCACAGGAGCAAGCTTGGCACGGTGGAAGTAAAAAAAAAGTGTGGTGTGCAATATAGTACATTATTATAGATCGGCGCAATGCAGAATACCAGCAGCTATAGAGGAATGCAGCAATAGTACATTATACTATAATGTACTATTGCTGGGATTTGTAGTCCTCTGTAGCTGGCGTTATTCTGCATTGCACTGTATATAATGTATTATTGCTGGGATCTGATGTATTCCTCTATAGCTGGCGTTATTCTGCATTGCGCTGTATATCATTTATTATCGCTGGGATTTGTAGTCCTCTACAGTGCGCTGTATAATGATAATACGGCGAAATGCAGTATACCACCAGCTATATAGGAATACAACAAATGCCAGCAATAGTACAACATTATACAATAATGTACTATTGCTGGGATATGTAGTCCTCTGTAAATGCTGGTATTCTGCATTGCGCTGTATAATGATTATACTGTGGAATGCAGATTACCATTGACCTGTTATAAGCAATCGATAGCCGACGAATCGACGATCGAAAACGTTGCCAACGTTTTCAATCGTCGATTTTAATCGACTTAATCGATTAACTGTTGCAGCTCTAGACACTATGTTAGTGTCTTGTTTTGCATTACTGTAAAATGAATTTTAAAAAAAGACCCTGCAAGTACAGAAAAATACCTGTTGATCTGCCAGAAGTACACCCCTCTCCTAATTTCCTGTTTCGGTCTGACAATGAAGTGCCTATCCTACGCTGAAACTGCATGGAATTGTGACAGCCCTGCCCAATCGTCTTTTGTTGAACAACAGAAATCTTCCTGCTCTCATCTCTGTAACAATGAGGAAAGTGTTCTGTAATCCAAGGGAAGAACTAGGAGGGCTAATTAGACTGCTTGTGATAATATAGGAAATGAACAGACACCAGTGGACTGTGCTGGATTTCTCTTATAGTAGGGTATTTTTGTGTGCGTTTACACAAATGAGTCTGAGGTTTTGTATCTTTTTCTAATCTTAACTTAACATTTATCTACAAAGCCATGTGATCACTATGTCAGTGCTGACACCATGGTCATATGGCCTTGTTAGAAAGCCATATGATTTTTTAAAAAAAAAATTTTCTAAAGCAGATTTCCCCTAAGCAGTCCACATGATAAATTTTGAGGTCGTGTTGATAAAATTTAGGCAAAGTTGAAATCCGTAATTGCATCCCACTCATCCCTAGTTGTTGTTCAGTGGAACAGGCAAATGGGATGAGCAATCAGTGATCTGTAACTCGAAGCCAATCTTTTCCACTTCAGATTTCATCTAGAAAAGCTCAGTATGTTTGAGGATACTTGGGAAGTGTGCAGAGTTTTGTGGTTGAGTTTCCTCTTGAAGTTGGTTTATGATGCACTAAAAATAAAAGGCAGTAAATGTTTATTGTGATGTGGTTTCAGGGTTCGGCTGTTGGGTGCTCTGGAACACCGTCAGGTGCGGAATGTCTTGGTGGAAGGTGACATATTCCTCAACACGTCTCTTACTGAAGCTTTCTGCATGGCAATCGTGGAAGCTGCTAGCTGTGGTTTGCAGGTAATTTACAATTTAATGTGTCTATAATAGAGAGGAGAGAGTTACACGAAATTTAAAGAGACACTGTCAGCTTACCCATTCAAGGCAAAGTGACCGCATCTGTGAAAAGGGGCTCCCAAAGCACTGATGCTTGCCTCACCAGCGCTCCCCACCCACTCCTTACTCTGCTGTAGCCGACACCAAAATACTCAGTCAGCTGTTGTTGGACATTAGGGGGATCAATGGCATCACACCCTGTCAGGTGACAGTGCTGGGGCCTAGCCATTGGCTGCAAGGCCTGAGAACTGTCACATGGGAGTTGTTCACTTAAAGTGCAACTGGAGCCAAAACATTTTATTTTCATTTTGGATAGAATGGAGAGGGATTACAAGACCTGTCAGGTTTTTATTGCTGTCCTTGTCCCCATTAGGAAGATTCACCTTCTCTATTTGTCCTGGTGACCCTTATCGCTAAAAGTGGGAAAAAAATCCCAAATTTTGAGTTGTTATAAGCACAGGAATAGATGGAAATGTAGATGGGGACACTAGTTCCGGTGACCCTGCCTACCACCAGGGCTTTCTCTCACTCTGGAGGAATTTTCTGTCACTTCCTGTTCTGGCTATCAGGAAGTGAAGGGAATTCTCTCCAATGGGACACCCGATTGCAAATAAAAGTTCAAGTTAAAAGTTTTACTTTAATCTTTCATAACTGGAAGAAGCAGGTATTTTGTGCCAGCTGAGGCAGCGCAAGGAGCAGTGGGGGAGCACTGGTGAGGTGCGGTATAGTGGGCCAGAAGGCCCATTTTACATACAGCCTGTCACTTTTTCCTGAATGATGCGACAGTGTCTCTTTAAAGAGTTGGACAGGATAATGTAGAAGTCTGCGGAATCTTTTTAGAGTAAACCGATCATGGCGGAATTAAGGGACTGCCATTGCAGACCATCTTCTGCAAATACCTGTTGCCTGGATTTTATCTGCTGGCTTCAATACTTTCCAAGTCACTGACCTGGAACAGATCAGACCTTTTGTATAAGTTGGAAGACCTCATCTGTGTACTTTCTTTCAAGCCAGTAACTCAGAAAGTAGGTACTTAATGGGGTCAGTATGTCAGACAGGCAACTAGCATTCTCACAAGCAGACGTCTCAGAAAAATGAAGATCTCCTGTTTTGTTTCAGCACTGTACATTCTCAGGTTCCCCACCATTTACAGCAGCAGGACCCTCTTCCTTTAATTGGTTTCGTTATATGGTGCGAAAATGGGTAGACTGCCCCATTCTAGATACTTCAGATTTTAAAAATGACTGCATCCTTAAGATCGATGCCCTTGTTCTACTCCATGCTTCTGTCTCTGGGAGTCATACCTGTGGCTGTCAGTCTTGCAAGGCCTCATAGGACTTGTAGTTCCACTGCAGCTCGAGGGCTGGAGTTGTCCAGCCCTTTTTTAAGCCCTTTAATGTCTGGTGCAATCCAAATAGAGGCTAAGATGGCCCCTTCCTTGGCTGCAAGGGATAGTTGGGTATAATTCCACTTTAAATATTACTAACTGCATTGATTATGCCTTTAAGGCTTTATAAGCTAAAAGTTTAAATGTCGCGTTCTTCTTAGTACCAGGAAGTGCAGGTACAGCACATCCATTTCTGTAATTAGTCGCAGCATCTCATTTTACAGCTTGCTGTACTTGTAACAGGTGGTGAGTACCAGAGTGGGTGGGATTCCCGAGGTGCTGCCTGAGGATTTCATCATCCTGTGTGAGCCGTCAGTCAAATCTCTATGTGATGGATTGGAGAAAGCTATAGATCAGCTGAAAACGGAAAAATTGCCCTCCCCGGAAGCCATCCATAACACTGTGAAGACATTCTATACTTGGAGAGATGTCGCTGAGAGGACGGAGAAAGTAAGTTCACATAACATTTTCCTGTACTATCCCTTTAGGGCTTAGCACACTGGTGCAAATATAGGCTTATAAGTCTACAGTGTAAAATGCACTCGGCAGCCCCAGCTGAGCGTTTTTTCTCCATAGTAATATACTGAAAATGATGTACGCGGGTAAGCGCCAGTACTTGAGTGTGTACAAGGTTTACTGTCTATACATATGGACAGAAATACGCAGCAGCTGGGGCTCCCGGTGCCCCAAATACTGGCAGATTTTAACACTGTTTGCCTGTATTTGTGACTGTGACCCTTAGGAGGGCCCTGCTCATGAGAGCTTACAATCTAACACTGTTGCTTTAAATTGTATTTTAACTGTAATGTCTTCATTTATTTTGATAGAGGTGCCGTATTGTGTGATTTTGCTGTTGGCAGGTATTGCACATTCCACCCCCATAGTTGCAGTATGCTTCCCGAGGCCATGACCCCGACCAGCTCATAATGGAATTGTATTGTGGTTGCGCAGCACTTTTCAATATAAGGAAGACATTTCAAACTCTTGGCGCTATATAAATCCTGTATAATAATGAGGAATACATTCATGCAGACTTGTAAAATTGCTAAAAGGTCCAATTTAGACATTGAAATCACTTCTGCACAATGGCAACTAGTGATAAAAGTCACTTGGTCAGTTATAATTTGATGGCAAACTTTCAAAAGCAGCAGGTAAAGAATTTTTAGAAAACGTTTCAAGTTCTGTGCAGCTTATTAAATTGATGCTTATTCATCCCTTGACATAAACCTCCCATCCTCCTGTAGATTTCCCTGACAACATTGTTCACTATAATGGGTCTAATGGGTCACCTATCATAAGGAGCTACAGATATCTCACCTTTTTTTTTTTTTTTTTTTTGG